AGGAATGAATCTTCCTGATTTGCTACGTAACACCCTCAGGTTTATGCTTCATGAAACCAACATTCTATCAGTTAATGGTTAGGGCATTAGAACGATGTTCTACTTAGAACCAATCAATGAAGATTAAAACAATATTCAGCAAAAACCTTCCAATCAAGAGCTAGATTAGGAGTACATATATGTTTCAAATAACAAAGCAAGTTGACCCAAAGCATCTGACTTGTATTCGAGATGTCACTCGTTCGAATCTTGACCGGATCATAGACAATCCTGACTGAGGGTTCTCGTAGTCTTCCTCAGTCCATCCAAACAAATACAGGGATATTAACTTAAATTAAGCAGCACCAATCTCTCCCCAAATCCTCCCAAATTCATTATTCAATTACCAGGATAGACTGAGCAAAACCATGAAATATGTCACGATGACCGGTGTCACGGTTGAACTTAAAACCGAGCGCCTCGTGAATATAGGCCTGAAATTTAGTGTTCAAGTAGACTTGCGCAACTGATAAATACGTGAAATGTGACGTCACGTAATTTGGTGCGTGTGCACCAATGTTCTGGATCCATTTCCAGTGCAGAAGAGTAAGAATTTCTGGAGATGGAAGCATCAAGTTCTCTAAAACATTCACCCATGTCTAACAAATTACATGAACCACAGCGTAGGCAGAGGGCACGAGATAGCGTAGTTGGTTGAGGCACTATGCTACAAGCTGGAAGGTCGCGAGTTCGAGTCCCGATTAGGTGGATTTTTCAATTGACCTTATCCTTCCAGCCGCATTATGGCCCTGGGGTCGACTCAACCTCTAACAGAAATGAGTATCAGGAATCTTCCTGAAGGGTAAAGGGAGGCCGGTGCGTAAGGCTGACCTCACCGCCATCTATGAGCCGATTGTCTAGAAAATGTGGGAGCCTCGACGTCTCACAGCCCTATGGGCCTCTACGGCCTGTTACAGGGATAGCTTTACCTTACAGCGTAGGCCTAATTATGCCACAGAAAAAAAAATTGTTGTGTTAGAAACTCTTTCGTGGTTCTGATATTCCATTAATGTGAAGTTATCGAAGATGGTCTGACATTTCACAGGAAAGCGAAATTAAAAATTCTGAAAATTATAAAAATCCAATTTGCTGGTGAGTGTGACGCCCCTACCGCAATCAGACTGTGCCTACAGGTGGATTACTGTACCCACAGTTGGAAAGCCAGCATGCAGCAGTGGCAAACTGAATTCCTATCCAGCCTGACACTTTCATATGCCTGCTGCATGACTCCTCACCGCTCAGCCTCGAGTTCAATACCGTGTTATTTCGTTTTAAATTCATGACGAACAAAACAGCACTGCAACAGATATTTCTCAGAGTTTCATGTATTTTCTCACTGCTATTTAAAATTCAATAATTGCTTCATACTCATGTCACCGTCCCCTGAGGTGAGCCACAGCCCTGATCTAACTATCAAACCTCATGGAGTTGAGTCCTTCTTGAGAAGCTGCCAGTTGTGCAGCCACTCAAGAACTTCCCGAAATTTTACGGAACCCGAAGGTTCATTACCGAGTTCATAAGAGCCCTCCACTGGTCCCTATCCTGAGCCAGATCGATCCAGTCCATATAACACATCCCACCTCTCTAAGATCCATTTTAATATTGTTCACCCACCTACGCCTTGGTCTTCCTAATGGTCTCTTTCCTTCTGGATTTCCCACCATTATCCTATATGCATTACTCTGCTTACAATTCGTGCTACATGCCCTGCGACTGACGGTCGGTCGGTCGGTCGGTAGGTCAGTCAGTCAGTCTTGGTCTCGAGCCCAGTCTGGGGCTTATGACCAGATATCTTTTACTGTTTGACAGTTTCTGCCTTGATATTGCGGGGCGCCCTCTCTGACGAGAGGATGGGTCTGTCTTTTATCAGTGTCACTGTCTGCAGTAGTAAGTCATTTGTCATAATGTAAAGGATATTTATATTTTACATTTGATAAATGTATATAAAATAGGCCTCTATCAGTTCACGTTCAGTAGAGCAGATTATGCCCTATTTCTAGTAGCTTCCGCTACAACGGCAGTCTAGTCACTTGAACGGTTGTATGCTTTACCGCCGCCAAGTTTAAGCCTCTTGTACTTTCTATGTCGGGCTTCGCCTTGTCCAATATTGCGAACATTTTCATTACCGTGATTTTATATGATTTCTGCTTGTTGCCTGCATAAGTTTGTTATATAATTACAGCCTCTTTACACCTACAGTAAGCTATAAAATGTTCCTGTACAGTCACGAAAAGTGCAGTTCTGCACACTGTTGCAGGTCCCTACCAGACTGTACGGTGCCAGCAGGGACATAAATAGCTTTACAGCCTCTCTACACATACAGTAAGCTACAAAATATTCCTGTACAGTCATGAAAAATGCAGTTCTGCTCACTGTTGCAGGTCTCAATCAGGCTGTACAGTGACAGCAGGAACCTAAATAGCTTTACAGCCTCTCTACACCTACAGTAAGCTGTAAAATGTTCCTGTACAGTCACGAAAAGTGCAGTTCTGCACACTGTTGCAGGTCCCTATCAGGCTGTACGGTGACAGCAGGAACCTAAATAACTTTATAGCCTCTCTACACCTAAAGTAAGATATAAAATGTTCCTGTACAGTTACGAAAAACTTCCGAAATATTTCATCAGCAGCAGCTACATTTTGCGGAAACACCTGCAAGTACAAGTCTGTGCATGGATCTATAGCCTTTTTCGGGCCTTGACCCCACCCCTCCACAACGACGCCTCACCACTGGCCCCTTTCCGGCGCCATTTTCTTCTCCTTCAAGTTTCTAATTTAGAGATTCCTTATAACGTGTTCAAGACCATCAAGTCACCCCATGGGGGGGCTCCTCACTCTTCTAGTGTCTTCCATCTTCACGAATGTTACTTTCTTGCAAGGATTTTTTTCCCCTGTACTCTATATACATTCCCCAGCCACCCCAGTCTCCCTGCCTTCACCACTTTGATGTTGGGTCCTTCATGAAATTGGCATGAGTCATGGTTGTACACAATTAGCCATGCTCCTATCTTATTACTGGAGCCTTATATTTTTTTTAATATTTACCTCACAATTACTTTTGGTTCCATAACTCTTTCATGATCAGTGGAAGGGGGGTATTATTGTACAAATTTACAAGAAGGGTGATAAAACTGACTGTAGTATATCACTGTTATCAACTTCATACAAAATGTTACCCAATATTCTTCTCTCAAGGTTAAATCTATATATAGATAAAATTGGGAATTATCAGTGTGGGTTTCGATGTAACAGATTAACTACTGAGCAGATCTTTCATCAGACACTGGATTAAAAATGGGAGTACAATGAGACGGCTCAACAGTTATTCGTAGACTTCAAGAAAGCCTATGATTCAGTTAGGAGGGAAGTATTGTACAATATTCTGATAGAGTCTGGGGTACCCATGAAACTAGTTAGGCTGATTAAAATGTGTTAAAATGAAACATATAGTAAGGTCCGTATAGGTAATTATTTATCTGATATTTTCCTATCTAGAATGGTCTAAAACAAGGAGATGCTTTATCGCCAATGCTTTTCAACTTTGCTTTAGAATATGTCATTAGGAAGGTTCAAGTAAACTTGGTGGGGCTGAAATTAAACAGAACACATCAGCCGCCGGTCTATGTTAATGATGTAAATCTCTTGTGAGGTAACACGGATACCATAAGGAAGAATATAGAAAATGTATTTGAAGCTAGGAAAAAAGTGGGTCTAGAAGTAAACTAAGAGAAAACTAAGTATATGTTGCTGTCTCGTCACCAGAACGCAAGGCAAAATCACGAGATTAAAATAACTAACACATCCTTTGAAAATGTGGCACAGTTTAAATATTTTGGAACGACGGTAACAAATCAAAATTTGATTCAGGAGGAAATTAATAGGATACTGAATTTGGGTAATGCTTGTAACCATTCAGCCCAGAACCTTTTATTTTCTTGTCTGGTGCTTAAAAATTGTAAAAACCAGAATATACAAAAAAATATATAATTTTGCCCACGGTTTTTTATGAGTGTGATACTTGGTCTCTAACATTAAGGGAGGAACATAAACAATTGGGTGGTCTCTCGGTCAGTCGGTTGCTTGCTTGCTTAGTTACTTGGTACGGCGGCCCGGGTTCGATCCCGGGTCTGGTCAAGTGGGATTTGTGGTGGACAAAGTGGCGCTGGGGCAGGTTTTCTCCAAGTACTTCGGTTTCCCCTGCCTATCTTTATTCCACCAATTGCTCGACAATCACCTTCACCTGTCATCTGGGGCTGGTACAATAGGCCAGAAGTGGCCGGAGTACAAGGGACTTAGCCCCACCCCACTAGCAATAAGAAATACTTGATTGGATTGGTTGATTGGTTGATTGATTGGTTGGTTGACTGTTGTCTTGGCTGGCTGGTTGGTTGGTTAGTTAGTAAGTAAGTCGGTTGGTCTGTTAGTTAGTCAGTCAGTTAGCTAGTTACCTTCATCATATTTCGTCAGAGCCCTACTTTCACTTTATATATGACAACAGGTCTGAACAGTGATTTTTTTACAGTTTACATTTATTTCTGGTGTAATGAGTATACTTATATTTCGAATAATTCGTCAGAACTTGGCGACCCCGTCGGTGTCGCGAACCACAGGTCAATAAACCATTATCTATACATCCTAATCCCTGTCAGTACTGCAGTATTTACATTAAAAGGTAAAGCTGTTCCTGTGCTTAACTAATTAAGTGCTACACCATGAAGGCGTATGGGGGAGTGGATGTACAGATCCACGTTTACTTGAACTCCGTACAAGTTGGAGGATAGTGGTCAGCTTCACGTCCTGGCTGCTTTACCTCCGGTACCCATTCGATAGGAGGTTGGGTGGGTCCCAGAACCGGTCTAGACATTGCAGATTTAAAATATGTTCTTATATCCACATGAATTTCTGCTGTATATAACACATAAACTTACAAATATTATGATACAGATTCATGTGTTACCTTACCTTCATTAACCTGCCATGTTGGTGGAATAGCGGGAAAGTTAATGATTCCCTCTCATTTCGACTGTTACAGGTCTCTACTGTTTTATAACTGACACTGGTTCCTTAAACTCCAATTACTACAACGCACAATAACATCAATTTGCACTATATCCTTCACTTTTTCTTAAAATCACGTAAACTTGGGTAAAAATGAAGTACACACTTTAACCTTCAACCACAAACTTCCACATGTTACACACACTGTCCACTTCCGCCCGATCCGTTCCGATGTCACTTCGTCTATTTCCGTGAACCGTGGCGTAGTACAAAACTGCAGCGACACAGAAGCATGACGGCAGTTTGTGAAGTTAGGGCATACTGCCGGATAGATGGCGTTACAGAGACATTCGTAGGGCTCTACACCCTGTTAGACATTAGAGATGCCAAAACAAATTAATTTATTGTGTTGATATGAATAAGAATGTAGCTGGCAATACTAAAACATTAATCCTAAGATCGTTCAGTGATGAAGATACAAGACAGAACTAATAATTTAGCCATTTAATGATGGCACTTCTTATTCTTCTTCTTTTTACCGTCGCAAGGCCGTTACGTAACAAAAGCAGGCATGCAGGCATACGTGCCTTGAGTTGGATTCGAACCCAGAATTTTAGTGTTTGAGCGTGCAAAGACATATTATTTTGTAATCCACGTCCAATGTTTCTTAACTTCTGTGACTGGAAAAGAACCGATGTTTCATAATGGTATGGCCGTCGTCGAAATGATGCTTACACATTATTTTGAACATGAAATACATTTAATGACATTGAAAATTTCAAAAAATATCTTACAGAAAACACACCAAACCTTCAGACCAACTTGCTGATTCTAAAGGGCTCTGACAATGACGTATAGTACTTAGGGCTGCTGTGTTTATTTGGACTTGGTCCATCGTCCGGCTTTCTAAAGAGCACAGTGTTTCGGAAACTAGATGTGTTTCCATCCACAGGTGAGGGGGAAGATACCTACTCTGTTGGGTCCCTTAGAATGAGGTAACCTCAACCAATGGAGAACGCATGTCAGCATAACTACAGCTACACGTCTAGAGGTGTCTTTCTAACGGAACCAACAGAGTAGATATCTCCCTCTTCACCTGAGGACGGAAACAAATCCAGGTTCCGAAACACTGTGCTCTTCAGAATATCGGACGATGGGAAAATAGCAAAAACTCAATAATGCCAACCGGTTAAATCTTTATATGGAAATAATAGCTACATTTTTCTTTTACTACAATAATAGAACCCATAACAACACGCTGTTAGAGTGTTAGAGCAGGTGCTAAGCACAGTAATTTCTGTATTTCATTAAATTTGAAAATGTTTACCATTACGTCAGTACATTATTACTTTATTCCGGAGAACAGCAGGGAATAGCTCAGTCAGTACACGAACTAGGCTACCTGCTAGATGGTCGGATGTTTTGGATTCTGTTTCCGACAGGGGCAAGAAATATATCTCCTCTCCACAGCACACGGACCTAACCAGTCTCCTGTACTATAGATACTGGTGTCTCTTTCCCGGGGAGTAAAACTAACCACGCACCTCCACTTAGTGACAAGATTAAGACTGTGTGGAGTTATATAGCCACTTCTTTACATGCCTTCATGGTGTGACGCTACTTTAAGCGAGGGGACAAATCTTCCGTTACATAGTTGTGTTGAAAGCTTCACGAAAGAGAAGAAAACGCGGTATAAATAAAAAATTAAACTAAAAACGATATTTCGTGCGTATATTTTCAGGCTCCCATCAATATGAGACTCTAATCTGTAGATCATCTGGCCGATATGTGTATCTGTCTTTTCTTCGTGGGGGGAGGGTGCCCGGAGCTCGAAAAATTTCATGTATGAAAGCAAATACACTCGAAATATCCCTACCGGAACTCGAACCCCGGTTTCCATCTCATAGCCAGTCACGTTAATAAACAGTACATTTGCTATCTTCTGAGGCCGTGCCATATCAGGCGGTTAGTCGCTGGCTTCCAACCGCGGCGGCTCGGGTTCCAGCCCGGATCAGGTCATGTGGGTTTTGTGGTGGACAAAGTGGCGTTGGGGCAGGTCTTCTCACGGTACTTCAGTTTCCCCTGTCAGTCTTCATTCCACAATCATCATCATCTATCATCTGGGGTTGGTACAATAGGCCAGTAGTGGTCGCAGTACCAAGCGGATTCAGTCTCGCCCCAATAAGATAATAATAAAAAAAACAATACTCTCTTCTGAGATGTGAATGCGTGTAGTTTGGTAGAAGTTCAATGACATACGCATTGCAACCATCTTCAGGGTTGACGAGCGAGATAATCAAGCAAGCAGAAAGACATCACGCAGAATTTATGCCCTTTTACCCTGAATATGTATCCAGTACGTTCCTCCGAAACGTCGGTGAAATATAGACTACACTGCTTCATGTCCCAGGAGACAATACTGTTCGTAGCGACAGGTGTGAGATCCAGAGTTTCATCTTCTCCACTTTACCCGTCGCCCTCCACTTCAGTTCCTATGCATTAACTGCAAATGGCGGAGTGTTACCAAGTGCATAAACTTGAGTTAGGCGTTTACTTAAGGGATTAAGTTAAACTCCTCCAAGCGGACAATTGGCTCAGAAAGTCACCCCATTTGATTGCTGTGCACCTTCCTCTCTTCTTCGGTTCATTTCCGGTCAGAAGGTATATCCGCCCTGTATCTTACCGAGGTAACATATCTGCGGGCCTCTTAGTTTAATGGTTGAATGAGTTCTGTCTCCAATTACGTGACGTATGAATCAGGCTTGCCTATAACGGTCTCGCCTTCGTTGTTCCTGCGCATGCGCTCCTAAACCACTGACTTCTACAAGTCACCTTATGAGTGATAAAAGGGTAAAGTTAAAGCTATCCCTAGCTGGTCACGTTAGTCGAGCGGTCTGAGGCATGGATGTTTTTGTCTGTGTATGTGTTTATTCTGTGTTTGTGTTGTCCTGTGTTTAGGTAGAGGCCTTGCGACGAGCTGATCTCCTGTTCATGGAGTCCTACCGACTGTGCATAGGATCAAAAAACTAAAAAAGTACCCAAGGCCCAACGAAGGGTTGTAGAGACATAGTAATAATGAAGTAAATTTGGTGGAATACAGCAGATTACATTTCCTTCCAGCCCCTTCTAACGCACGTCAACGAGCATACAGAGCCTTATATAGGCTACCGGCAACCATGGAATATGCCTGTTGTCATGGAAATGTGCTTACCGAACCGTTGCCTAGCAACGGCCTACTACGCGTTTGTTATTGTTGTTGCGGGAACTGTTGGTTAGCGATGGACATCCGCTCTGGCTCCATTATTCCGGCTTTCAGGCGTCGTGTCGCATTCATCAGGATTGTGATTGGGAGGCAAAGTGTCTCTAGAATCAATTACTAAGGTCCTCTGCCAGGTGGCGTCTTACTGTGCAGTCACGTGAGCTCCTAGATGGACGCTAGTGTCAACAGAGTGCGTGATCATCACACGCGAGTTGGAGTATGATACAAGCAGATGATATGACCCAGTAGCTGCACCATGATGCTTTACCTCTGCTCGGTGATACAGGTGACCAGGTTCGCCTTGCTCTATCGGCGTCATGTTATACAAGTGTCTTGAATTCCACAGAATTACTGGAGCTTATGGTGTGAAGTGCGCAGTCGCAGGCACAGCAGCTCTGCACACTGTTGCGTTGTATGTTCCACACGGCGTGTTTTCTGAGCAGCGCAACCGTGAGTCGAAATCTCTTCCAGGGTCTCAGCTCACAATCGTGAGGATGGAAACAGGAGAAGATGGAAACGGGGGAAGAGGGAGAAGCGAATTACGAAGAGAAGAAGGGGACGAGGAACTTGAAAAAATTTTAAGGACGGGAGATAACCGAAAAAGAGTACGAAAAGAAAGAGAAATAAAAAAGGAGACTTAGAGTTTTATATTTTGGGATATGAAGCCGTATCGCCCGGTAAAAGGTCACAGACGTTTAGGAGGGACGTACTGCCTCCAGAGTAGAAGATCAATAAAAAAAATCAGTCTGCAATACATAGGCAGAAAGCAGATATTGGCTTATTTTTCGATATGTGAACAGTACTTTCTTCCGAAACGTCGGTGACTTTCCACAAGGCTACAGGGTGCCACATCCAAGATAATAGCATTCGTCATAGTCACTATCTATCTGTCTATGGCTTTACAGTCTTTTGTTGGGTCACGGCCACTTTTCAGTTTCTTAATCCTGTACACAGTACGTAGGACTCTTTCGACAGGGAATCAGCCTGTCGTATGGCCTCTACCTAAACATAGAACAAACGTACACAGACATCCATGCCTCGAGTGGGATTCGAACCCACGACCCCAGCGTCCGAGCCAGCGAAGACAGTTCATGCCTTAGACCGCGTGGCCACTGTGACCGGCCGTCATAGCCACTGCTGTAAGAAAATCAGATCCAATGAAAGAGTTTATGAAGGAAGTGGGCAAAGAAGAAAGGGGAAAGAAGATGAAGCTGGAGAAAAAGAGTTTGGGAAAGGGGAAAGAAAGTGAGAAGACAAATAGGAAGATGAAGAGAGAGATAATGAAAAAAGACGGAAGCTAGGAAAGTGGAAAAGTAGAAGAAATAGGAAAATAATGAATATTTAGAGAGGAATTTGAAGAAGGAAGGAAAAGAAAAGGTTTAAGAAGGCAACAAAGAACCAAATCCCCGTTTCTTCGGTCTTTCTGCATTTGTGAGGACTTAACTTCTGGAAGGCGTATGGGCCGGCCCGAATTGACGGTAGGAGCGTCCGACTTCTCTGCCTGAGTCAGAACTCACAGAAAACTCACTGTACAATGACCAGCATCATCATTCATAAACTACTGAAGTGAATGAATCAATGGAGATTAAATGGGTCACGATATTCCTGTAGTGTAGGCTAAAGGGAGTCGCGGAACTGATGGTCACCTCCCAGCGAGAACAGAGATTCCCCCCCCCCCAGCCGCCGTTTCAGTGGGCTAGCTGGGGGCTCTCTTTCTCGAATGTAAAGCAGGCTGGGCCTGAATTTGAACACATTCCTCCATCTATCGCTGAGGTTAACAATGCTTCCTCTTTATCGCTGTTTTACCGTAAGTCTTCGTGACGTGGTGGTTAATTAATTTAGCAAAGGGACAACTTCACTTGTCACCTTCACGGAGAAGACTAAATGCACAAAGTTTAATTCGGAAAACCTTGTGGAAACAGAACACTTGATATCTTGACGAAGATAAGAAAATGAAAGTTAATA